TTGCATTTTGGACAAATCCTTCGTTTTTTGTCGCGCAGGTTCTTCCCCAATTTCGGATCACCTGTCGGGTGTGAGAGAGGCGGCCACCAGCAAAAGGTTTTTCGGGGCGAACAGAATGGCCACATGGGCATGGGTCAAAATTCAACCACCAGAAAATCCGCAGATTTTAGCCAATGTTTCCATTTACCAGGGCAAGCCATTTCGGGTACTAATTTTGACAGCCACATTCCGCAAAGCCTCCGCAGATAAACGGCTCAGTGTTTTGGAACCATCTCAGACGTTGCCGCGCGGCATCCTGCAAGCAGGGAAAGGCTGCATAGTACCTGCTTCCTTGGTGTAAACTTCCGTGTCATGAAGCAAGCCCTCAGATTGTGCCAGCCTATGCCACCCTATAAATCTAGAAGTTGTTGCTTGAACTCTTTGATTCAAGTCCCAAACAAATTCCTGCCATTATTTAGCATGGCTTGTGTTCACTTTCCCGAAGGTTTTTCTAACCAAGCAAGCTGCCCGCATGCTGCCCCACTGGCACATCCTCCTGGCCTTGCAAGACGCCTGCGCAAAAAACGTAGCAAACAACAACACGTCGTCAAAAGCTTCGGCTTGTCGGCCCCGGTGGTGCCAACCTCCTTTGGTCACTGGCCTTCACACCAAGTGCACGGGCTGCTGCTTGTGTGTTTGCAGTTTAGCGGTTGCTTTCTGGTGCGGGGGACCCAACTTGGCGATCGAGGTTGCCTCGGTTTTGACTGGGACGCCCTGCTAGCGAGGGCGTCAGACTGCCTTGACCAGCTGGCCTATCCAGACTTGTTTGAGTAGGTGTGGGTGGCGGGCTTGACTTGGGCTCCCAGGCAGCATTGAGAATTGGTGGAAGGCCTGGGTTGACGGCTGCAAGCACCCGGACCGTTCCACTGGGTGTGCGCAACTGGGTTGCCCCGTAGATGACAGGTCTTCTTGGGGTGCTGTTCTCTTTGAGGTAATCTCTTTGCAATTTTTGCAAGGATTCGGCACAAGCCCACAAGCCCGCCAGGGCTTGCGGAGCTGGCACTGGGAAAGCTGTCTGGAGGCTGGTTCACGTCCTGAGTTCCTGGACTTCAAAGTTTTTGGAAGACAATTCTAGTCCCAGTTGCCCAGTGGGTTGCTTCCTTTTTTCCTTTTTTTTGGGAGGGGTTCCCTTTAAACTCAACCAACCAAAAAAACGATTCCCTTTTTTCCGCTGAGAAATTGAGTGCTGCCAAGATTTGATCTCAGATTGTCAGATCTCCGATGTAGATCTCGGATAAACCACCCTTCAAAAGTAAAGGCAAGGTGTTGATCTACAAAGACAATCCGACACAACAACAAAGAACATGCCATTATAACTCATAACGGAGCCGGAAACAGTCAGATGAAAACGGATCAGGGGCTTTTGTGGGCAACCCCCTTTGTGTGACGGTGTGGATTCGTTGCAAGGGCATCATATTTTGGATTCATTGAGTGCTTTAGAACTGGTCACCAAGCTCTTCATGCTCGCAAGCAACAAGTTTCAGCATGCTGCTGATTGCCACGTTGAACTGCGCAAGCTTTCAGGAGTCTGCAATGGAGAGCGGCATGCCGTGAAAGTGCCGAAGTGCTGGCATCCCATGCCAGCCCCTAGAATATGTGTTTATGTGTTGTTGGTTTCATTTCAAATTTGTTTTCCTAATTCGGAATCCGTGACTTGTTCGGGTTCACTTCAATTTTCCAAAAAAACACCTTTACTTGAGAAGGGTAGCTTATCTAAACCTTTCTTGGCTAAAGGCTTTAGATCTATGTTGTTTTGCAAGTTGCGAAGGGGCGTGTCGCACTGTGTCAGGGGTTCATCATGCCGGGCAAAACGTCGCCTGTTTGACCTGATTCGTAGCAGTTTCCTGCTGTTCCGCGATCATGCAAGGCTGCGTTTGCGATTTTCGAGTGCATCCACTCCAGTCCAATCCAATTCCATTCCACCAGTCCCCCAGCCCAGCTCAAACCCAGTACCCCAGTTTTCAGCCCGGTCCAGTCCAGCCAAAACTCCCGGCTTCCAAGTCCATCCGTTGCCCTATCAGTTTCCGCTCTGGTTCCTGGAACCTTGGTCCCTTTCAGCAGCATATGTTTTCGGGCTGATCTTGGCTCGGGGCTGGTTGCAGGAAAATCCGCGACTTCGTACTTGCACCCTCTGTTGCCGCGTGTTGCGACCCTTCCAAAGGCAGCCAAGCCCGCATGATACTGTGGATGGACAAAATCCTGCACCACCTAAGAAACCCTGGAATGATTCGATTCCCTCGTAAATTACCAACCAACACTGGCTTCAACCATGGTCTCATTTTGTGGTGCGAAACGGCCTTCGCGACCATCCACAGTGTCGGCCCCGCGCGCCTCCGACCTCGGCACGGCCTCGCGCGCTTGCCGGCGCGCTTGCCGCCTCGCGCGCCAGACGCGAGGCCACCAGGAGTGCCTCGCGAACTCGCTGGAGGACGCAGTGAGGCAGTGCGAGCTGCGCTTCGCGATGCTCAAGGAGATGCAGACAACGTGATGCGTGCAGCTGCAAGGGACCCTTGTTCGGATGGAAATGGGTGGGGGGAACACGGTTTGAATTGGGTTGCTTGTTGATAGGTTGGAAACTTCATTTGTTTCGAAGTTTTTTGGGTAGAGTTCACTCAGAAGAAGTGCATAATTGAGTACATGGTTGGATTTGATCACTGGTTTTGGCGAGCCCGGAGGCCTTGTTCACAGGGGCACTATGTCGATGCTGGGCCCATCCCAATACCCGAAAGATCCGAAAAGGGTGTCTTCGTAGAGGCTGGCCTGTGAATCGTAGGCGCCACCATCGTGCGCCGCGACACGCCTCGTTGTTTTGCTGGCGTATTATCAGCCAAAGGGCTCGGTTGCCGGGATCGAAGAGTGACTCGGGCATTTCCACCAGACAGCAGACATTTCTGGTTTTTTAATGGCGTTTTGATGACCGTGAGCTTGCAGCCCATGCCTGAAGTGAAGTTTTTCAGGCCGATTGCTGCAATTCGTGATGGATCTTCAGATCCCGCTCGGCACCTGAATTCATGGTTTCAATGAGCCCTGGCCAGGGTCACGGCTTCTTTTTCTTTTCTTTTATTTTTCTCATCGGCAGTCGGACACCCAGATCAAGCGCAGGAATCACCGTACCTTAAACAAGATGGAACTAGACCCGCGGGGATTAATCCATCTTTTCTCCTGATTTGTTTGGGGTCCCCTATCAAATCAACCAGCAGAAAACAGTAGCCTGTTTCCCCCCTTGGAGTTTTCAAGGTCATGGCATTCTCGTGTGGGCCCCATTGAACTTGGGGTCCAATGCAAGCCATCCCCAAGACGAAATTGGTTGACTTGGGTTTGGTGAGGGGGAGAGAGGGACACAAGGGCGCAAGGAAAGCTAAGAGCCCAGCCCAAGTGAGTGTGTCTTTTCACGAAAGCTAGCTTTAGCTAGCTGAAGTTTCTCCTTGCGTAAGCAAGGTAAGGGGCTCAAATGCCGAAAGATTGATTTTTTCAATTATTTGAGCCGAAAAGATTGAAAAACATCAATTATTTAGACCCCCCCCCCTCCCAGGCTCGATTCATCCCCCCCCCCCCGGGCAGTGGCTCAGTGTTCAGCAGTCTCGGTTTGCCCGTTTTGGACTTGGTGCTACGAACTTTTACATGTTCCACCGATTCAGCTTGTTCATTTGAGACCTCAGTCTTCTCAGTAAACCACCTCGCAAGAATCTTTGCACACGCAGCATGCAGAACCCAGAGGTGCTTTAAGACAGCTTCTGACGCCTCTCGTTGTTTTCATTTTTCAAGGTTTGCCACGCCACCATGTGCGTTTGCGTGTCGCATCCTACGAATCTTGCCGGGCCTCTCGTTGTACACAAGCTACCTATGAATCCACTCTGTCACCGACCCATCTCATGCAACAACTGCTAGCTTTCGTTCACCCGCTCCTCAAGTGAGGGTACTTTTTTGGGGTGTTTAAAGAGAAGCCAAAAGCACCACCACCCTTTTTGTTTTGGGGGCGGTCCCTAAAAACAGACACCCAAGTATCTTTGAGTGTTGTACAAGCTGGTGCGCGTCTTCATGCGGGCAAGGCTGACCTATTTTCTTGCCCATGGGTGCAAGGGCTGCAGAGGACGGCTGATGTTCCCGTCCCTCGGCCAGATTGAGTTGCAGTTGGTAGCCTTGACCCATCAACCCCCGCAAATTTCCCCTTGCCTCGACCCTGGCCGGCTTGTGAGCGGTAGGAAGTTAACTTGTCCGGCTGGACAGGTCCCAAAGAGGTCTGTGCTGGGCAGCAGCACGCAAAGAAAGAGCCTATGCTCTAAGGCGTTTATTCACTCAGCCTTTCTGCAGGCGTGTCCGATGTAGATGTATTGACCTAAGCAGAGGGGAGGTTGAATTATGATAGACGCTCTCCGATGTGCTGTTCCTAAGTTTGACCCCAGCTCAATATGTATCATGGCGCTTTCTCACATGCAAGCGACCTTTGCAGAGTGTTGCGGGTGCCCAGCCTGCACAGCACGCTTTGAGAAACTGCCCGCCTCCGGAAAAGTCGGGACTCGGGAGTCGGGACTCGGGAGCCGTGTTTTGGAAACCGAGGCCGGGGGTGGGCTTTTGGCAGACTCGCGGATCATCCAAGCTGTTTGAGAGAGAAGGTGTGCACCTGGCCTCATTACCATGGTCAAAGCCACCCCCGAAGTGGTGCAAGCCCCATGTCTGACTTTGAGAACCAGGAGCCGTCGCACTCGCAGGACTTTGGTCGAAAAATAGATGGGTTTCGATTCCTGGTTTACCTGGTGGCTTTGTTTCTCATCTACCAAGGAAACCCATCTATTTCCCATCTATTTTTCCCCATCTATTTCCCCTATTTTATTTGGTCTGCCTGGTGGTTTAATCATCTACCAGGGCCATCTATTTCCCATATTTTTTCACATCTATTTCCCCTATTTCCCCATGACAAGCTGTTTGAGAGAGAAGGTGTGCACGGTGTGCACCGCTATCAG